GCGCAGCAGTGCTTGTGGATTATGCGGTGATTGATGGTTTGGCATGTTTGGCATGCCTTTTGCTGTATTGCACGTTGAAACAGTAGCGGCGGAACACCTTCAATCAAGGGGAGGGGGGGGGGTGCACTGCCGACTTTTGGTCCCATTCTTTTTCCATGCAACGCCCATAGGGCTAATGTTAAAATGCCAAAATCAAAGGGGGGCACGGTGCCCGGTGCCCTCCGGCCTTCCCGTTCCGCCGCCTATGCGTTGAAAGCGTAGAAGAGCGTATTTATTCGGACAGTTAAGTATTGTACACTGCAACCTCCTGGTCAATGACCATTAGTCATCTGTCTGACTAAATTTGTGGTTGGGAAAAAAATCCATTAAAAAAATCGAAATGTCATCCCTTATATCTTCAGTAAATCATATTCAACCTCACCGCCGTGACCACGAAACGTCTCCCACAGCCCTGGAACAACTCCCACAATCAGGGCCACTCCGGGACATCTGCACCGTTCCTCGGGCTCCTCTGACCACCGTGGCATCTCATCCTGTCGAGACATTTCCATTCTCACCGCCATGACTGCGCACCTCTGCCCCGGACTCCTACCGGTCCGCTTAGTCACGGTGCCGATGCAGTCCACTATCGATCCAGAGGCGGCCCCGGCCCGGCGTGGCCTTGGCTCGGCCGCCGCCGGCTATACGTGAGCCGGGCGGCTGCACGCCGGCTATACGTGAGCCGGCAGCCGGCAGCGCGCGCCAGTCGCCCGTCTGAGCTGCACCAGAGCTGAACTGAGAGGAGCGGGACACGTGAGCGGCAGCATGGGAGTCATCAGCGAGACCAAACACCTGACTACAGGTAGGTACGGCTGGTGCCAGACGGGTCTTCTACAGACCCTGTTCGGTCCCGGCAGTTTTGCGAAACGGTTCGTTCTCAGAGGGCTTATGTAATGACTGATTTAGTATGGAACGTGGACATGGTTGTAGATGTGGTTGCTCCACTGTCAGACTTCCAGATCAATTATAATGGCCGAACAAAAGCCATACCGAATGTATGTTACGTGAGCCTAGTCATTCAGTAACCGTTCAGTCCACCATTTCGGAAATAAACTGTGATTATAAAATAAGTTTACATACCTACCTACCATTCTCCTTAGACTTAGCCTTTCTCTGTGAGTCAGGACTCAGGACTCGGGAGTCACCATGAGTTGGCAGAACGTGATGGTCATGGTGACTGGCTGGAACCCCGGCCCTCACGAGCCGCCCCGCTGTCGACCGGGCCGTTTGAAACCCAGCAGTCAGCGTTACGAGCGTTATTTATTGTCGGCCCCGCCGTGCGGGAGGCGGCAGGACTGGTGCAAACCGAACTGCAGCCGGTCCAGTGAGGGCAGGTGGGAAATAGTTGTTAGTGCGGCCGCAAAGGCCGACGTCCTATCGAGCCCGAATATGAAAACATAAAACAGACGTAAACCTCCCGAGGCTGTCTATACTGTTTAACGGTCCCCGTGGCAACCATCAGCAACATTAGGCTGTTTGTCCGATGCACCCGTCGTGTGTGTGTTCCGCCTCGGCCGTCTGTACCGCTGTGCCTGTATGTTCTGTCGGCGGCCGTCCCAGACCAGCCGGTAATTACGCTCCGGTCCAGTGCCATCCGATACAGAGTTACGATCCTGCGGTTTCCGATGGTCCATAGACCAGAGGGGTCCGCCAGCCTTTTATGGACCAGACACAGAACACGTCCCCAGGATCCAGTTCCCGCAGGCGACCTGTGAATGCTCAACCGTCAGATGTATCTTGCAATTCAACTGGGTTTGCAGGCTGAGCAGCAGACATCTCTGGACTGGATCTGACGAATCTAAACACAGTCGGAGGCCGGGAGACTTCTGAGCTCTTACTGCTCAACTGCCTACAAAAATGTGCCCAGTAATCAGTGAAGTTCCGTCTGATCATTCGTCATACTCACTCCACAGAATAACACCCGGTTTCGCAGTTGTGCTGACCCGCGGTCCGTCTCCGTGTTTCAGGCTCGGAGTGCCCTCCGCTGAAGCCGGGCACGCTGAGATGCTACTCGATGAAGTTCTGCCCGTACGCCCAGCGTACGAGGCTGGTGCTCGCCGCAAAGGGCGTCCCGTAAGTATACGGTTTGAGCGCATACATATTTATCGTGAACTAAATCGATATAAACCATTACAATTAGCGACTGGTAGTGAGTTACGAGCACCCGTTTAATAGTACAATGACAGTACAATGACGCGACTTTGGGCAAGGATACTGCTGCTAACGATGTAACATGCCAAATCGAGTTAATTCAGTCAACTGATGTTTGCATCGTACATCGCTGTCGCCGACACCGGACACGGCTCAGATGTGATCCTTTCTCCTGTCCCATTTCCCAGCTGTGACCTTTTCTCCTCCCGCTTCAGCCATGAGATCGTCAACATCAACCTGAAGGCCAAGCCCGAGTGGTATCTCGCCAAGAGCGCCACTGGAGGCAAGGTGCCCGCTCTGGAGCTGGACGACCGCTTCACGACGGAGAGTCTGATCACGTGCGACCTGCTGGAGGAGCTGTACCCTCAGCCGGCCCTCTACCCGACCGACCCGTGGCTCAAGGCCCGCGACCGCCTCATGGTCGAGCTCTTTGGATCGGTGAGTGGTGGCAGGCAGACGATGGGCGGTCGGAGGGGACCAGGGGGGAGGGGGGGGGGGTCAACAGTCAACAGAGGCGTTGAGGGAGGTATGATAAGGTTTCAAAAGGAGTGTGTATGAACGGTGACCACAGAGACGATAAAAAGGTGAGTGATTTATATAAAATAATTCCGTTTAGACATTTTGTCAAGACTCGCGCCCGGCTTCTATGCACACAGTACGGGAATCCTTACTGAGCTTATCCAACAAATGTGTGTTAGCCTGCATCAGCTAAGAGCCCGGAACTGCGGTGTTTCCCCGGTCGCTTACACAGGATATGTTGTCATCGCGTGTTTCCCCATCGACTGTCGCGCCCGCGACACTGACTCGGCCGATACGCCTGGCCCGGGTGAGGGACTGAGGGAGTGTGCTGTATCCCGGGGTCTCAGGGAGCACCCTCTGTTGGCAGGTCAGCAGCCTCACTTACCAGATGTACCGCGCCATGGGAGACGCCCAGAAGATCAAACAGATCAGCGAAGACTTCAACACAAAGCTCCAGGTGAGACTGATCGCCCGGCAGTTTATCTTCATCGTTACTGAATACTAGACAGAAGGATAACAATTAACAAACAGCATACTGGGCGAATAACAAACTCCCAGGTTGTGTGTCAAAGAAGTGAGGCGACACGACTGAATCTAGCATCCACGCGGAAAATGCCACAGCTCACATGGTGAGACCAGCATGACAGTTAAGTTCGATGTCCACAGGGTCTAATTTGTCGTGTGCCTAATATCTCCAGCGGCACATGGCCCGTGCTCGTCCACAGTGAGGTACTGTGAGCGCAGTGCTGGTTATCGCCCCGCAGTCTGCCGTCCACAGCCCACCGTGGCCAAACATTAGTTCCCGCTATCTCGTCCCAGTCATCGCCGATAAGTTCTCTCGCGCAGGGGAGGGGCGGGGTAGGAGGGAGCGAACTAGGGATCGATGAACGCGTGAACGTTAACTTAACACCACTCGGTGTTGTTTTTTTTTTTTCATTAGGGCGCTGCCCTCGTCGCCATCCCTTGACCGGTTATCGTCCCTGTGGAAAGGGATTTGCAGCCCTTGTCCCCCGCTGACCGTGTCCTCGTGTCCAAAAGACCGACGCTTGCCGACTCGCATGTCCGCCACCGACATGTGTCCCGTTTCCCGTGTCCTGACAGGCTATCGCTGACCGTCCTGTCCGCTGGTAACCGCAGCCGTATCCGTCACTGACATTTTCCCCGTGTCCGCCGACAGATCTTTGAGAAGGAGCTGGTGGAGCGCGGCACGCCGTTCTTCTTCGGCGACCGTCCGGGCATGCTGGACCTCATGATCTGGCCGTGGGTGGAGCGGTTCCCGGCGGCCCGCAAACTGGGCGTCACCTCGTTGCCCACGGGAGAGATGCCGCCGCCGCCCCCCGAGATCAAACACTTCGTGAGTCTCTAGCATAAAGCTGTCTATCAGCAGACGCTGTCTTTCACGGCCAATACCCAAGGACGACTCCCATTGTGGCTTGCCCTTATGACTGTGATGAGTGCTCTAGCGTGTTGGTTTGGGCTTTGTTCCCAGTTAGTGCCTATCTGTTTGCCGTCCCTATCCAGATGATGTTAGTCATTACAGTAATGAGACCGCCTTTGACGACACGCGGAACTATTTTCACCCTGCCAACTACGTGAATGAAACTCTAAACCAGTGAGTCCCTGAGGGGTTAACTCTGCTCTCCCTCGCCCACTCACGCTCTCCCCTCTCTTCTCACAGCACGAATGGGTGATGAGGATGACCCAGCACCCGCAGGTGAAGAGCTGCAGCGTCACCACCGAGGACCACATGAAGTTCATCAAGAGCTTCATCGCCGGCAACCCGAACTACGATATGGAAATCTCGTCCGTATAATCGTCGCCGCCCAGGGTTATGTGAAGCGGGCTTTCGGGGCTGGAGTGGGTGGTTTTGATTTTTTATGTGGAGCACAGTCCATACCCCGTGAATTGTGCCAGTAGCGACCACACGGCCATATACTCTTAGTGTGAACCGAACGAACTGTAACTCGATTCCATTTATAATATCCAGTTGTTCTATGTCTGATCTCTATGGATGTTTTGTCGTAATACTCCGCTGTGTATCGTTGTTACTTCTCTGCTGATTAGGGCCAGTGACTCGAGTGTCAAGACGTCTTCGTGCGGTGTGAAACTATACAGAATTGCTTAAATAAAGTCAGCAATTTAAACAGAAATGTATACGCAGTAGAGACAAGATGCATGTTTGTGAACGGATAAGTCCGACGGCTAGCTCGCATACGCTCCGCACCAGACTACGGGACTTTGCACTGAAATGCCGCAAAAGCAACACAAGCACTCGGCACAAACACGTATTGTCTGTCGTTTGACACAAAAATGCCACAATGTATTACGTGCTAGGCAAAATAAGACATTTCTTACAAACGAGATCGGTCACACAGCGTACTAAATTACATAACTAATTATATACATTGATGACATTGGCATTGGTGATAAAGTGGGAAAGTTTCGATGAATTGAGGATGAAACTTGTTAGATGCTAACAATAGAAGTCAGTTCTACAATGGTAGCATGATGAGCTGAGGACGCACCGGGTGATACTGCTGTTTTCTCGGCAAAATAAACACTGAACCGTCTCGGCTAAAGATGGCGCCTGTTGGCAGTAATGAGATGCCGGGCCAGCTCAGCTTACATCGGCCTCTCGCTCTAAGAACGCAAACCCACGACCTGGGTTATATAGACAAAAAGAGACGGCACGCTCAAACGCTGCCGTCCGGTCCTATCCAACAAGCATGACCTAGCTGCAGGAAACTTACCGCAGTGACTCATTTGTGTACGCTAGCTTAGCATTACACAACGTTCTGTCGCGTTAGTGTGGTCGGTCGCCTGCAGAAGATAAAGGCATACGGTCTGTGTCTGAGCACACAGTCTGTTGGCCTGACCTCTCAGAACCGCCCACGCTATGACGTCACTCACAGACAGGACGTCCTGCCATGATGCCGCCCCATCAAGCCGTCAGAGCTCACAGCGGCCTGTGGACGTTTCCACGGCCGTCTGATCTGCGACGAGGCCTGCCATCCAAAGCGCAGTCGCGTATGACAACACTTGTCCGGCTTCTCTGTCGCGTCATCCGTGAACCCCCTCCCTTCCTCCCCCCCCCACGCACAAACATTCGAAAGCCAGCTGAAAGCACAGCTGGATATCCCAGCACAAGCCATACTGCCCGGCTGTCTATGATCGTCCTCCCCGACCCCCTGTACGTCCTCGTGCGGTCGGTCAGGCAGGGCTCACTTGTGCGGCTCACTTGTCGAGCAGTCCCGCGTCTTTGAGGCGGCTCTGGAAGTACTTTTCGAGCACGGTGCTGCACCGGTAGTATTCCGTGTCGGGATCGTTGTACATCCGGCAGTTTGTGAAGATGCGCGTCGCGTCGGCGATAAACAGCCGCTTGTGGCAGTAGTACTTGTTCTTCAGACGCTTTGACATCGTCTCCAGGTCTGCGGGGAAAAACGGACATTGGTCATACATTGAGCCCTAAATCAGCGCCGTAAGGAATTCGAATCGCGAGTACAGACCCATATTTTCATGCAAACGTAAACGTAAGGTAGATAAAGACTGACTCAGGCTCAACGGACATGTTCATAGACCACACAATTATGGTCGTCAGAAAAAGTACCATTTGATAAATCTTGCATCGTTTTGCAGAGCCAGACTCCACCTCACGCAAACCACTCTCCCTGAGCCCCGGTGTGCGTCCACCCCATCACCACGGCTGGGGCCGCCCACCTACCCATGGGGTACTTGATGAACTCGTAGTAGTCGGGCACGTCGTTAGGGTCCACCGGGCTGAGGAAGGGCCAGGCGGCGCTGTGCTGGCGCATGTTCTGCAGCAGGGTGCGCAGGGTGCCCTGCAGCAGCTCGGCGTTACCCAGCTCGTCCGAGTGGCGCGTCACGCGGGACGACTTGTCCGGAGACTTCCAGCCGGCCTCGCGGATACCTGGAGATGGGGGCGGGGGGAGGGCGTTAGTCGGGGACGCCGGTCCGGGGACGCCGTTAGTCGGGGACGCCGGAAGCAGAGTCACTCCAAGATCATGGATCAAGGGTGGTGAATGATAATGGTCGAGGCGCGGTATCATGGTCCGGCCGGCAGTCCTGGTGTCGAAATGGTGGCAGTCGAGGCGACTCAGAATTATAAACGACAGAAACTAATATTGTGTGTTTGCAGCCTGCATACTACATTGCATGAGTAAGGGCGATTGTGTAATCTCCCGACTGTTCTCGACTTTGTGTGCGGCAGATCCGGCGCGAGGGTGGGGAGTGAACGCACCAGGGGGAGGGTTGTTTGGCGAGCGATACTTTGGCCGAAAGGCAGCAAACCAGTCGGACTGGTTACGTTGAGCTGGTCCACACAGAGTTGTAGTTATTAGCGTCAGAAGGATGCATTGGTTGGCCGAGGGAAGATGGCTCAAACACAAACGCGGAATAGAACAATGATAGACGGCAGCGCGGCGGGCTAGTGAGCTTAGAGTGACGCTGAAGGCTAAAACAAAACGTTTGCCGTCTCTAAGCGTTCAATCGTATGCGCAACCTCTCAACCAGTTCTGCGGACGGCCGGGTGGACGCCGGACGAGTGGCGTAGAACGCACCTGGGATGCAGTCGATCGGGATGCCCTGCACGCCCTCTTTGAAGCAGCTCAGGCCCGGGTGGACCTTCCGGATGGACGCCTGGCGAGCCTCGATCAGACGCTTGATGATCTGAAAAACGTTGACGAATGATTTGGTACAATGTCAACTAAACACCATGAGTGAGCGAAGAACAAACAGTGAATAAATAGTACCTGGCAGATCCCACAACGTGTTCCCGAGGTGTCTGTCATGTCAAATAGTATATGAAAAAGAATGTTACTTCCCATCCATCACGTTAAAAAACGACGAAATTCCGAGCGGATATTCATATTCAGTATCTATTTGATACTATTTTTGAAGCACGTTGCGTTTAGATCCAGCCACGCATTCGCCAGCGTTAAAGGGACCCTCCCACCTTCAAAAAAGTTAATGAATTGACATGAAAGTGATGTCGCTCGGTTCAGAAAGAGCGAAAACGAATATCTACCAAATTTCATGGAAAAATATTCACCGGTTTTCAAGATATTAGACTTTTACTTTTTACTTTTTGGAATCTCCGCTATATCCTAGCGACTTTATTTGAAAGTGCGGCATTTGTTGCGCGCAAAGCAGCATATACCACCGCGTGCTACCAAACGTTTTAGTAAAAGATTTAAAAATCGTTAGATCTCCGCTGACGTCACAAATTCTAAGGGGGCATACCAACGCATTAGCCCCTTAGAATCCGAAAACTGCAAGTTTGAAATTCCATATCTCCGAATTATAGCATTTTTCGATGTTGTGAGTGCCCAGACCGGTATTTTCAGGCCATGGCCACCAATTTGGCTATCTCAACTCAAAACTAATGTTAAGGTGGGATGGTCACTTTAAGGTATTTTTAACATGATAGCGCAGCATACCTTACATTGAGTAACATTCACTGTGCATATGGCAGCGTCATAGCAAACAGATGGTGACATGATGATGAATTGTACGTTCACATGTTCAATGATTCGAGAAAATGCCAGAAGCTTGTAGGCATGACTAACAATCTCTAGTCATCATGAGTCACAGTGATCACTGATAACAAATAGAGCATCACAGTAGTTCAGACTAACCACTCAAGCTTGTGTAAACAAATATAACAGGCGAATCGTACCACCCGCTGTTTTAAAACCATTTAGATAAGTCAAGTCGCCAAATCAGTTGCACCATTCACAAACCACACGACAGGCACCTCCCAACGTGATTGTCTGCCAGTCCGCGTACAAACCTCCTTTTGTTTTCTGATGACCGAGCTGAACTCCCTGTAGATGATCCTGGGAGAGAGCTCGCAGCCCATCAGCGTGGCGCCCTCGTAGTCCTTGATGTAGCCCAGGTACTTCTTGCGGCTCAGCTTGATCTCCTTGCTGAAGCCCTGCTTCTTGAAGTAGCCTGCGGGATTGACAAGGACTGTCGGTGAAGATGCCGCTACATGCTTCAGCTGGATGGCCGTCACTGCCACTCTGTTCACGGACAGACCCCATATAGCGGTGGCGACATCTACTTAACTGCTCTCCTACATGCACCATGCATCTGGTTGAGAACGTACGATTGTTTGCGAGATTACACTTGTCAATGGAGCTTTTCTATACATGAATGTTTGTCGATGGCTGAGTTTGCCTTACAGTATCAGCGTGTGAAAGTATGCGCCGGCCACAACCGTTCGTTCCGGGACAGCCCCACCCAGCCCGTGCCCTGGTCAGTGCGTGAACGGACCCCTGCCGGTCCCGTGACATCCCGTATAGTCTCGCTAATTCTCCAGTCTCCACACCGGACACTCACCGACGGCGAACTCGTCAGCGAACGTGAGGAAGTGGTGGACGCCGTGCCGGATGTGGTAGTCCTTGAGGTGGTTCATCAGGTGCGTGCCGTACCCCTTCACCTGCGAGGACGGGGCAGCGTGGGGCGGTCAGAGGTCAGTCATGGGAGGCACGCGGATAGCCACGCGCCGGCAGACGATTGAAAATCCAAAGTATGTCCGAATAGCGTGTGACTGCTCAGTGCTCACACACCATACCGAATAATGTCATGGCATCTCATTAATATAATATCAAAGGTACAATCGCCGAAAACTAAAAACAATGAACACTTGCATGTAGCGAAAATATGCAAAGTTCCATCCAAATGTTGTAAATTTATCAGCTATGACGGATTCCTATAGTCTATTCCCCGCTCACACACTCCACTTCCTATGCACGTCTGTCAGCACCAAATATGTTCCTCACCCCGGGCGCAGGTCACCCGACCGCACCTGTTCGTTGCTGGTGACGGCGCAGAAGACGATCTCTGTGAACCCCTGGCTGGGGAACAGTCGGAAGCAGATGCCGCCGATCGGACGGTTGTTCTTCACCAGCGCCAGGGTGCGGTGCTTACTGCCGACACGGACAAAATGGAGACACTGTGTTAGAAGGACGGCGAGGATACAGATATTCCGGCACTGACAAACGAGGGGTGACTCATACTCACAGAGGCAGACACTGCACGTGTGACGTACACACATCTGTATCTACAGGGTGATTTTTTATACAGGGCAAAAAGTAAAGAGCAATGGCGTTACCAGAAAACACATCAACTGACAGCTCAAATGTATATCATTGTAATAAGCACATTCTGACATTTCATTTGCACACACAAACTTGGAGTTTGAGCTCCGTTTAGGCTTACAGAACGTGCTCGAAGTTAGCACAGTGTTAATGCACGCAAGCCTGGAGTAATTGGCGATTTTGGGGAAAACATTTTGTTGTGCGCCATTTTCACGGAGCTTCACAACAGAATGAGTCCCAAGAAGTTCCTAAAAGGTCCTGAAAACAAAATGACAAACAATTTCCTTTCACATGGATATACTTTTTTCGCGTTTGTTTTATGTTTTGCTATCTCTAGGCTTAAAAACTTTTTGCCCTGCAAAAAAATCACCCAGTATGTAGAAAGAGACATTTGAGGGAGCCACCGGCACAAGCCGAGTCGGCTAGGTTTCTACAGCTCATAAGGATTCATTCCGTGCTTTTATGGCTGATAACCATCCGACCTATGGTTGGATTTGGGGCCATTTGCTTCAAATCCTCTCCTCCTTCCCTAGATCCGTGCCAATGTTCAGAACAGTGCTAATGTCCAGAACCGAGCAGTTTACGCCGTTTGTCAACTCAGAAGCACCACTCAGTACTCACGGGTCGAACACGAGTCGGGTGATGTACTCCTTGGGCATCCGGGGCAGCTGGTGGGAAAACACGTTCTGCAGGCCCACCAGCCACAGCATGGTCGTCTTGCTGACCTTCTGACTGAGCGAGTTGCCCACCACGTGGAAGCTGATGTGGCCCGCCCGCTCCTCCGCCTTGGCTGCCTCGTCGCGGGCGGCGTTCTCCAAGAACAGAGACTGCAGGACGAGGTAAGGGTGTCTAAGATCCGTTTGGGAAGGCCTGGCATGTTGCGGGGCGGGTCGCTGAGAGATGAGACGACTGAAGTGAGAGGGAGCGGTATAATTATGCCTGTCTCACTGGAGACCCTGAAGTGGGACTCAGTTGAGCTGATCGTTGAGTGAGTGGTGAGTGAGTGGTAAAAACCAATGTGAGAATTCACATGAGTGGCTATGGAGCAGGTCATTTGAGGCTGTAGGGGTATGAGCTGCGCGCCACGTCACTGACAGTTTGAGTGGAGTGGCAATTTATCAAACTTCAAACAAAGGATGGATCGCCCGCCAGAGGGCCGGACTCTCCCCACCCCGCTAGAGCGTCCCGGCACCGGACCCACCTCCTGTCCGACGGAGCGCCGGCTCGGGTCCTCGATGGCCTCCAGGATCTGCTGCACCTGCTCCTCGGACACATCATCCTCGGGCCGGGGTCGTTTGGCGGCCCGGTCCGGCTCGTCGGCGGCAGCACGCTTCTCGGGCCGCCGGCGACCGGCCGTGTCCTCCGCCGCCGCCGGACCTGGGGACGGCTCCGACTTCACCTCTGGGAGCACGAGGACAGGAAATCGGCGTCAGGGGGACGGCAGACGGAGACTGAACCAGTTGGCTGCAGTGCAACAGTAGAAGCACAGCTACAGAGGTGATTCATGTATTTATATCCTTAGAATATATCAACAATGTCGTTAATATAGAATAGAAATTTGGCATAATCGTCAATACACACAACTCACACAAGATTACCGGGAGAACACAAAGAGGTTGATCAAGACATTTAGTTACCTATGGGTTTCTGCGGCTGAGTCGGTGGCTTGAAGTCGACATCGAAAATGGTCGTCGAGTTGCCGTACACCTCCTCTTCCAGTAATGACAGGAATCTGATGAAAATAGTGAACATGTGAATCACAAGAACATCGTGAGCATCAAGAAGTACGCCTGGTAACAACTACTGCAAGATCAGCCATAAAACATGCTGAGCCGAGCTGACAGCAAAATATGTCCGATATACGCCTAAGAAACTCATGGCGCTTCGTCAACGAAGCAGGCTCCCCTCCATCCCTCCCCACCACCGACCTGGGCATGTGTGCCAGTATGAGGAGCCTCTTATCCTTGGCCATTTTCTCCCTGTCGAGGTCGATCTTCTGCAGTAGCCGGGCGCTGACAGTTCGCAGCAGCAGCCGGAGAACGGACCGGCCGAACACTGCCGCCGGGTCCCAGTGCACCATCGAGGTGCAGATCGTGGGCACGTGGCAGTAGCACATCCACCTGCGGGATGGGTCACAACACCGGTCACAATCTGCACGCGTAAGCATCCCACACGTTGTGTGTACGTGGCAGAGGCTCATCCACATGTGGGAATGGGTCACAACGCCGGTCACAATCAGCAAGTGCCACGAACAGATAGCGCATATGGATAGCGTCAAGCTCATGTCTGAATGTAGCCAGACATTAATCCTTGGAAACCTAGACCACACATACAATGATCAAGTGATTCATAGTGCAATCCCCTCGTACAAATGAGCGGCTTTTTTGCCACAGGGTAAACGTACCGACTTCATTCCCGGCTTCGTGTGGCCATGGGACCAGTCGGTGGAACCGGTGGGACTGACCTGGTGAAGTGCACCTTGTACAGGGTGCTCTCCTTGAGCTGGGCGCCTACGTGCACGCTGGGAGTCTCCCATCGCCAGTGGTTCAGGTAGTGCAGAAACGCCTTGGCCAGGTCGAAGTTCAGCTGCTGCTCCTGGTGATAAAGATAGGGAGCCATCAGACTCGGACCACGGTTAGCTGATTGTGCATATAACGTTATGCACCAGTTGGCAGCGACTCACCAGCAAGCAAGCAAAACACAAGACGGATCACCGTCCTGAGAACTTACGAAACTCAGCACAATTATCGCTCAATGTCCATACGGTGAAGCCAATGTGGGCGGTCGCCGGCACTGACTGTCCGACGACGCTTGGTGCGCCTTGCATCTCGCACGCACCTTTGGATTGGAGCTGAACTTGGCGAGCACGAAGTTGGAGACGGCCTTGGCGATGGTGGGCGTCTCGAAGGGCGGTCGTCCGAGCGGGCCCTCGATAACCGGCTCAGTCATCTGCAGGATACTCTTGCGCAGCAGCTGAGCATGGGCACGGGAGAGATGGTTAGAGAGCAGGCAACCAAACGTTTAGTCGGGGATGGTCAGATACAAACGTTGGTTCGAGATAATAAGACAAGTTACAGCGTTCCATCCGGACTCCGGGAGGCGAAAGGCGGGGTCAGACACCAGTCTAACAGCGGACACTGGACTGTCAAAGAGCGCTAAGAGACAACACCATAACCATTGCCAGACAGCAGCTGGTAGGCAGATGTGGGAACAGTTGCCAGAAAGATGCATGCCAGGGGGTCAGACAACAGTAATGCGGTCAGTTGAAGGACAATAGAAAGGCTTTGGTCCGACGGTCGTAAGAATGGTCGAACGACCGTTAACAGGGAGGCAACACAAAGGTTACACAGCGTCCATGAGGAGCATATTATGTATCCACACGTTTCTATGCTATCAAAGTGATGCCAACAGCATACTGAGCACACGTCATCAGCAGCCAGTAAATTATTTACCTTGAACAGATAGAAGTGCACTTGTTTGGTGTCTGTGTCTTCCTCCTTCTGGACCAGGAAGAAGAGGCTCTCGACGTCCAGTGACATGCTGAGCAGGTGGTTCAGCTGCTCGTCCCCCTTCTTCTCCAGCTCAGACATGTGCGTACCTGCGGCAGAGAGCAGCGTCTGAATCATGCGTCCTGAGAGGCAGCAGCGTGGCGTACCTCAGACACACTAGACAGTAATTGTGTTTCGTCTCAATACAGTGTCTACCTTAAACACAATTTTGCGAACGCCAGGGACAAAGTCCAGTGTTGCTTATGCACAGTAGAGCTGCATCATCTAACGTGTCACTCAACGAGGGTAGAAAGGAGGGGAAAATGGACGGCGTGATACGGTCCCACCCAGGACAGCTGTTGAGGGGGAGGGGGAATGGGCGGTGCGACACGCACCTAGTGCAAGTTGAGAGGAGTGTGAACAGGAACGAGCGGAGCGACACCTACCCAGCGTGTGTAAGCGCGAGCAGCAGGAGGCGCGGCACCCCATCAAGGACAGAGTAGAGGGGAGGTAATGGACGGCGTAACACCCGCCGAAGGCATGAGTGCAGGAGAGCGGGACCGAGAATGTCAGGAAACGGGAGCTGCGGGGGACACTCACCCAGCGTGTGGGAGCACGAGCGGCAGGCGGCCGACGGCTGCAGCGTCGGCTCCACGCCATCCTTGGCCGGCGCCTGGCCGGACGCGCTCTTGAAGCCGTTACAGCTGCACTCAGAGCCATCTGTCGGCTGGAAGGGGCAAGCGGGAGCAAAATTAACAACTAAAAACGAAAAACGCATTAGCGGGGCCTGCTAGAACAGCAACAGAGTACCTAACTGACTAGTAGTAAGTGCACTTCTAAGTTCCAACATTCCTTTTAAGGTTATCGTTCTGCTTTTTACAAGCTAGAGTCCAATGCTTTTTCTACTTGGAGTGCATTTGTAAAGCAGAGTTGCTGGACAGCTCGTCGACTGTGTTCGACAACGCACAGTCAGCAAAGACAATCGATCATACCACGTCCACCGGGCACCGACACATCTAAAAATAGTCGCACAGCTCAAGTAAAGGCTCTCCAGCATAAACACAGCTCAGAGTGGCTGGCCATAGGCGACAGGGGGCTCAACCTATAGCCCAGTGGGAGAGGGATGGCACAAACTTCAGGCCTAAACTCTTACAGGGTTACCAAGCAGCCAAGAGTGGACAGCGACTGTGGATGGCTCGATGTGAAGCTCAGTAGCGGGGGGGGGGTGGCTCACCTTACACCCCGAGTAGATGGCGAGTTTCTCCAGTTTCCTGGCGCGCGGCAGGGAGGCCGCCTGCCGTTTGCGCTGCTGGATGACCTCAACCCGCTGGGCCAGGGTCAGCCGCTGGCCTGCCGAGCCGGCCGCGCCGCTGGCCGAACCCTCACCGCCGCTGGCCATCCTGCAGCCGATACCAGCCGTGGAGGCCGCCTGTGTTTTCTGTCTATTGCCAGGCTGGGTCGGCAGTAACTCAGAGTGGCGTGGTAGGTAGTGACTGGCAACTCTTCAATCTGTATGATATACCTAATCTTGTACTGTATGGTCTCACCTGTAACAAAATTCAGTCACTGTCACTGTTTATTGGAAATGTGCATTACACTCTGATAAACTCTATAGGTGGCAACAGAAAGTGCCACTGTCAATACAGGATCTTAGATACATATCTAATGTATGTTAATAAGGAATTGCCAGTCCAGTTGGGCAAACTAGATTTTTGAATCAAAATAGGTATGGAGGCATCAATAATTTGATTCTGGTAAGAGAAGCCATGACTATATATGGGCAATGGGCATGGAATCAATCTTATGATTCATTTTGGTACACTTTTAACTTCAAATGTATCATTACGGTTGAAAAAGGGCCCATGATGGTGAGATTTGTGTTTAAATAGGTAGAAAAATGTAGAAGGCACGTAAAAAGTGTCACCTCCAATCCAAACCAAGAAATTTTCACTTTGGCCTTGTAAATGGCAAAAAGACAGAGCCACTCTCCATCACGTCAAAGCTGTTTTGAGAATATCACAGTGTATGCTGTTTTTGTATCATGAATCTCATACATATCAATAGGTATTTGTTTAAAATAACAAATTTAAATTTTTAAGCCCTTACCTTTTGTTGTTATTATGCAATTATGTTTATTGTAAGGGTTTCACCTGTTACTTATGTTTTTGTATTCTTGACATTTAAAAAAATTGTTAATTACGGAGCGAGCGAAGCGAGCGGAGTCTCATACTGAATTAAGGGAAAATCCTGAGTAGGCCGGCCGGCCGGCCGTGGGAACGCTCTTCAAAAGCTAATATCTTAGGAACGGGACATCCGATTGACAAGCGGTCTTCTTTACTGAATGTCACTTGGACGTAAAAGTTATGTGGTGTGATGGCCACCATGCGTTCTTACCAACCACCGCACGTGGCGCGTGGTAAAGTTGGACATTTTTTAAGAACCCCCAAAATTGCAACCTCAAGAACGGCACAACGGTTGGGCCGATTGAATTGAAACTCGGTACACAGTTAGGTCTCCATCAGATAATTCATCTGCATGTGTTAAGGTTGGGGTGCTACAGCACGTGCGCACGTGCAGGGGGCGCTCCCAGATCTCGAGAACGGCTGGGCCGATTGCGCTCAAATTTGGTACACGGTTGGGGGCCAGTTAGTAGGGTGCCGTGCAAAAGTCAGTTTGGACCCCGCTTGCACGTGCGCACGTGCAGTGTGCCGCTTCCAGATCTCGAGAACGGCTAGGCCGATTGCGCTGAAATTTGGCACATCGCTAAAGACCGGTTAGTAGGGTGCAGTGCACAAGTTAGTTGGAGGTACCCCCTCGCAATTTCGCACGTGCAAGGCCCATCCTCTCGCTCGCTCCGTTGGTCGCCCAAAAGGCGTTTTACTGGTTGTTATCAAATGTAGTGAAGGTAAAGAGCAACAAGGCTATGGCATATGTTGTGGTGATGAGAATGCTACTAAATGCAAATGATAGCAAAATAAATGCTGTTTTCTTGGAAGCCATTGCTGCATATCTGTTTACATTACGTGTGACTCAAAAAATTGATTAGCCAGCTGATGGGGAATCAATATTATGATTATCTGTTCACAGTGAATCAATTCGTTGATTGCCTTTTGCTACCTATATAATTCAAACTGTTATGATAGGAGCAATATTATTTTGCTTAGTAGATAGTTCCCGCATTTCTGTTCAAGATCATATCAGTCGGGCGCACTGTGGTAATTCCGGTCCATTTATAGAAACGTTGCTTATATTTGGAAACGTTTCCAAATGTAGAAACGCTGCGTTCCATAAATGGAAACGCTCAGAAGCACCGATCATTCCGGACGATTTATTTTAAAGCAAGATGCGTTATATAACTTTCTAGATGGTGGAATGCCATCTAGTGGCAACAAGAAAGCACTCAGGTGAAAATGACACGTCAATTTCGCCAAAACTTAAAACATCTATTTAGCCCAAATTAGCCAATATTCTGCCAAAAATCAGCCCAAATCAGGTTCTGGATGTCATATTTGAAGGGAAACCTTAACCTTCCAGGCGGTGGGGGGGGGGCATTTTTTTGCCCCCCCCCCCCTTTGGTTTTTTCGATATATCTCGAGAACCGCTGCGCCGATCGTCACCAAACTTTCAGTACCCTCCCGGGAGCAGCTAGCGCACATGGTGACCAAAAATTTTTCCAAAGGCTATGATAGGTTGGCCGCTAATGACGTCAGAGTGACGTCATTTTTGCCATTTTTGACCCAAAAAAAGGTTTCGCGGGAAGAGCTGTCAGGCCTACAGCTTTAGAGATACAGAAAAATGTTTCTAACATAAAAGGTGTGGAATTGAAAGGGCTACAAAACTGCTATTTCGGTTTTTCGAATTTTTTGGATTTTGACCCCCAAAAATAAAAAAATAGATTTTTTGAATATAATAGCCAAAAAATCCAAAAAGTTTTTTGAATTTCGAAAAAAACGGAATATATGTGATAGCCCCTATCGCCTTCTATCTACATACCAAATTTGAGATCGATACCTCTTTTTTTGGCCAAGTTATAGCGAAAAAAACTGTTCAAAATTGATGACGTCAAATTTTCAAACTCAATTTTTAGCAATTCTAGACCTCGTAGCGCAAAACAAAGAGCACCATTAGACTCCCCGTGACGAGCTGCATCGAATCGATACCCATTTTATGCAAAAATATCAACTTTGAAATTTGACCTTTTTTGACCTGACCTTGACCTGACCTCCACCAGAAAGTGACCTAAACCGTACCTGATGGTCTTATAACCAACACCATTGAGTTGGAAATGAAAAACTGGCCATAAAACATGCATCGCGTAACCTTAGTAAAGTTGGGCTCATGTGGTGACCCCTGGTGACCTTTGGTGACCTGACCTGTAACCTGACCTGGTATGACCAGTGACCTCTAATAGCAACATATGTACTAGACAACTGACGCCTTGTCGCTGATTTTCGACAAAATGCGTTTTACTCGGTGTTATAGCGCTTTCCCTAGAAGCCCCGTGAACGGTGAAACATTTTATCTTTGACCTGACCTGTGACGTCATCGGTGACCCCGAGGTCAATGAAATTTGGTTTCCCTCGACAAATTTGACAGGGCTATCGAACGCCGTTTGAATTTTCCGGATCCGTCCAGTAGTTTCGGAGATACGGGGGGGGGCAAAAAAGTGCCCCCCCCCACCGCGCGGAAGGTGGCTAGTAGGCCCACCGCCTGCCGGGTTAATGGAAGTTTTTCTCTTATTCACAATTTCTTCTACATTTTACACAAACCGGAAATCAAATCGTCGTCATTACCATGGCCCACCATGGATTTCTTCGGACCTCCTTGCGATTATAAACTCAAATGTTGGCTTGTCACTGGTCATGGTGGTAACCGTTTTGTGCGAAATTTCGCCAGAGCTTGCGAAGATCGTCAAACAGGTGAGCGTGCACCTACCGTTTCCAAATATAGAAATGCAGCGTTTCCATATTTGGAACAAGCGTTTCTATATATGGAACATTGTTTCCAAATATAGAAACATTTTTATATATGGAACGGAATTACCACAGTGTGCCCGACTGATATAAAAATCAACAAGATCATATATGATAAGAAATGGTCTGCATTTATGACCAAATATGGTCATAAAGAATCAATCTTTTGATGCCTCCATATTTTGATTCCAAAGAATACGAGTATGGTATCTCTTTACCCTTACTACTACCCATTCACATTCCATTTCCATGACGGTGCATGAGCGTCACTTTGCGAAATTAATTAGGACTCTTATGTCAAATTAGAGGATACAAAAACATTCTTATCATGCAGCATCATAAGGCTTTTGTTGAAATCCCAAAAATGTTGGCTGTTATTGGCTGTTAGTTATGGAGTAGTAAAGTGAAAGTAGGTAATCTTGATTGGGCCCTACCTACCGAGGCGGCTAGCCTAGCATGACCGCAGGCTTTTAAAAACGAGTTGAAAATACTACAACGTTCAAAGTAAATGCAAAGCTACTAACAAATGATGTAAAACTTACTTATTCACTAATTGTAATGAGATTTCCATAATCGATTAAAAAAAAAACGGAAAACCGCGACACCGCGCGCCCAAGGCCCTACCGCGCGCCGTGCTGCGGGCGACGCGGCATTCAGCAGAATGGATTCCCAAGAAAAATATAATGTTCAGAGACTCACGTCAGTAAAGTCGTTCGCTCTCTTTCATGAATGAAATTTCGCAAAAATATAAATGAAACCATACATAAGCAGCTGACAGCGTAAAATGAACGTAACTGTTGCGCTAGATTTGTCAAAAATATTGCTGCCATATCAAGCATATCAAACGCTCAGAATCCGTCACTAATTTCTAAAAGGACTAAATTATCACCTGATATGTTCTACTGAGCACCAACCCGAAACATTTATTTCAATATTTCTGTAAAAAAGTAAAAGGATAAAATTGTTACACATCAAAGGACTGTTTAGCTATCAACTAGTGGGAAGCGCATTGCGGATTTTGTCCCCCTTCCTTAGGTATTCTTTGGAAATGGGACGTGTAACTGTACATAGATATGTAGGTAGGAAACTATCAAAGAAGAGGCACACAAGGCCGGTTTCAGTGTGGCAAAGCGTCATTCGATTCATTTCGTCGTGAACAGGCGAGGCGGGGCCTTTTTCATAACGCAGACGACGATGGTGGGGGGGGGATACGACCAGGCACGTGCCCTCAGGGGCGTAGGATCCTATACAGTTGGGGGCGCTTCAGCCCCCCCAACTGGCTGGTCAGCCCCCCCAACTTGCCAGTCAGCCCCCCCCCAACATTTGCTAAAAGTGTTGTAAATTTTGTGATTTGGAGCTGTGTTTTGATAAATGCTCTTGCAAATTTTCTCGGCGCTCCACGCCTCCGATTCTTACACCAATCAATAGGTAATCTTATTGATCGTTTCAGGTGAGTTTAAATAAAAATGACGGTTTTCTTATCCAAAACGTGTCTGTTTGGGCCCTCTATGATGAAAAGCGATGCACATTAGGATGATGCACCTTTTTTATTCTGAATCGACATTCCTTTTTCA